ACCGCGGTGATTCCCCGTGCTGCCGGTGATTCCCCGTTCTACCGCGGTGATTCTCCGTTCTACCAGTGATACCTTGTTCTACTGGTTATCGAGCGATTGCATATTTAATCAAACGTTTACGCTATATTTAAGTTATAGTGATAATTATAGAGGGAATGTTTATATACTTCCGCGTGCATGCTCAAACAAACTTACTAATCAGCCAACCGATGCTTTGAACCGATGGAACCTTTGAACCTTTGAACCGATGAAACCTTAAATCTTCGTCTTGTCTTCATTTCGCATTGTCGACTTGTGAATTACTTGTTGCTTAATAGTTAGTTAACCGATTTTTGGTTAGTTGATATGGATTTTAGCATATAAGCTCGGATACAACAGCTCGTAAACGGATAAACGCGTGGGCGTCAGTTATTTAATCACGTGGACAGGATTAACAATGGCAGCAGTAAAGCTGGTGCCGGTGTGTGTATTGTGCTTAAACTTATTGGCGGTGAGGACACAGTTCCTGCAGGAACCATATGACACGGAGGCAGTTGAAGGTACCAGTGTTACGGTGCACTGCACGATTGACCTTGATTTTAATTCCGGGAAAGATTTACCCATTTTTGTTTATTGGTATCGTGACGGTTCCTACATAAGTCCTACTAATGAAGAAAGATATTTCTACATTGACGACAACAGGTACGACACAGGAAAGTTTGGCTTGCTAATATCTAACTTGACAGTTGAGAAAGATGACGCAGAGTTCTGTTGTGTATCGCAGGATGCCGTCTCTACGGATATGCATCTAACTGTGCTTGTGCCACAACAGTCGGTTGCCATGTCTCTTATAGACAGCTCTTCATCACCGGATGGAACGCTACAGTTCTCGTGTGTATCAGTGAGCAGTAATCCAGCAGCTAGAATCACTTGGTGGCTGAATGAGGATGATATTACGGCCGACTCCAGTCAAACAGAGGAAGCGGGTTCAAGAAACAAAACATTTACAACAAAAAGTATCATGAGTCACAGGTTTTCAACGGAAGACATTGATAAAGAACTTCGTTGTCATATCTTCATTCACCAACGTTTACCCGAAAAAGTGTTAACCGAGATTTTGTACATGGCAGACACCGTGACCATCATCAGCAGCAACAACGCCAGTGATGATGACGTCATTATTATCGAGGCAGAGAAGCTGATTCTACGCTGCAACGCTGACGGTTATCCAGAACCATCTTACACGTGGTTGCACGACGACCAGGAGATACAAGCTGCAGGCGATGAAGTAGTGATCGAGCGAGTCGAGTTTAGACACAGAGGATTGTACGCTTGTATAGCAAATAGTTTGTTTGGGGCATACATGTCGAGTAACAAGTTGGTTGTGACCGTGTTAGTGCCAGCAAGGAATGTCACAATGACGATAGACGGTAATAATGTAGACGGTAATATGACGATACTTGCGGGATCTCTTGAGGTTAGCTGCACTACAGGTAAAAGCTTTCCTGGAGGAACAGTAACATGGAAACTTGGTGATACATCTGTAGATGGAGCTAATACTTCACATGTCAGTAAAGTTAATGGAACTATAACGACGTACAGCAAACTGGCGCGTACGTTTACCGCTGATGATCACGACAAAATACTTGCCTGTCATGTTGACATCCACGAATCATTCCAGTCACTGTCAGTCGATGTTCGGCTCAATGTTATTTACATTGGAGAAGTCAGAGTAAGCGGTGACAGCCAGGCAGGCGTTATGACTGTCAACCACGGCAGTGCGCTGTGGCTGCTCTGTAACACAGACGGAAACCCCGAGCCAGGTTATTCTTGGCTTCACAACGGAACTGTTATTCCAGCAAAAGCCAACAGAACGTACGAGAGAGACTCTGTCACCCCTGTCGATGCGGGCGACTACGCATGCGCAGTCTGCAATCTTGCAGGAAAGGCCTTCTCTACTAATACAATGTCTGTGGTCGTTGTCCCTCCACCACAAACATCAAACATTGCACTTATTGTCGGACTGGTCATTGGTGGCTTATTATTGGTAATCCTACTCATCGTCGTCGCTTTAATCCACCTGAAAACGAAATTAACATTAGAGCCTATTCTACCCCCCACTGCATGCTC